GACCACTTGTTCTACAGAAGATTATTTGCCCAGAGGTAACGCTTTTACATATAGTAAGTAAAAGTTTCCTAAGAATTACACATATACTTTAATTATGTCAACGAGCACAATACATTGGTCAGTGATTTCAACTATTTTCAATCAAACATTAATGAACTATTTTCTAAATTCATTATTCTAGTATTCTGTAAAAAAAAAGATTCGGTAAGCAATCATAATATAATGACTGATATCAAAGCTACAAATCATTAAATCAAACTAGTAATTTTAAAACATCTTTTTTAACTAAAATCTATTTATGACGATTTTAGACTAACAAGATATATGGTTTACTGAAGATATGAACTTTAGACTAATTTTAAGTCGATTGACATTTAAAAATGTCAATCATTTATGAAATATACAAATGTGATTTAACTTAAAGTCAGTTTGTTTTCAGTTCATTACATGTGGATTGGTTGAAGTTAAACATTAACACCGTTGGAGGCCGGCTTGGTGATCTAGTGGTTAAGTGTTCGCGCGCAAGACTGATAGGTTCTGGGTTCGTATCCTGCTGGGCGGAATCGTGGATGCGCACTGATGGGGAGTTCCACACTAGAACGAAATGAACATCTAGTGCTTCTAGGTTTTGCATGGTGGTCTAACTCCAAACGACTCATAAACTCAACTATTAAACTACTATAATATCCACGAAACCCTTTTCTGATAATAAATATGTGTTTTTGGTTAACCATTTTTTTCGTTATTAGAATAATAGTATTTGCTAAATCTTGAGTAAATTGTTTTGAATGAGATGGAATGTTTAGACTCCATAATTAAACTTTAATTTGAGTTTAATGGATCTGATCTTAACAGTATTGCTGTATTTTCTTTAAAAATCTATAATTAATTGTGGCTGTTCTTATTTTTTTAATTGGGGAACAGGCATTAGACACAAAAGTTGACTTTAAGAAGATACATAATGAAACGTTTTATAATTTAAATTTTAAACTTATCTTACTTCTTACAATTTAGTTTACACAACATTGAACGACAGTTTTTCATCTCTAAGATAAATTCAAATCTTGAATGAATGTATAATTGCTAAGTTCAAAAGAAAGTATTAAAGCCATAAACTTTTAATCTTTGTTAAGAAGATTCAACTTTCACACTAATCAACTTATTTATTTATATTAGATGAGTTTTGTGGATATTATAGTAATTTCAATGGTTAAGATCATGAGTCAGTTGAAGCTAGACCACCAAGGAAAACCTCGAAGCACTGGACGGCCGTTTTGTCCTTTTATGGGACTCCTCAGTAATGCGCATCCGCGGCCTCGCCCCCCTTGCGGGGTTCGAACCCAGGACTTACTGGTTTCGTGCGCGAGCACTTAACCACTAGACTATTGTTCAGTGGTTCCTGGTTTTCCATGGTGGTCTAGTTTTAACCGACTCATGATCTTAACCATTGAAATTATTTATTTATGTTAGGTAGTATGTTTAATATTAATTTAAAGATTTATGGTAATTGTGATCCGTCAATTGTAAATCAATAAAAAGACTTCATTTGTGAGTTTTATGCCCTTAAAATGATGTTACAATTTAATATTTTTACCATCTAGACTCAATTTGAATCACATGTATCCTTCTTAGATAAATACTAAAGTATGCTATTTTATCACATGATTTGAATGTTTTTATATCAAAGTAATTTTATAAGTAATAATACAAAATAAATATGATAAATCTTAATGACTTTTAAAGAGGAAGAATGTATTTGTCAAATCTTAGCAAAAGAATTTGAATTCACTGAGATTTTACAAATACATTCTTCCTGTTTAATGTCTTACATTAACTCAGCGCTTAAATACTGTGAAATTATTGGATCAAATTTAGACGAAAGTTCTTATGAATGACTTTTATTGTTATTCAGTTTAATAAGGTTTGATAAGGATTATGTCGAGTAATTAAGTTAGAATAGTTAAAGTTTATATTGGTTTTTGGTAAGCCACTCCACTGAATAGATAATCTTTTTTAAAATAAAAAACAAGATTGTTTCTAAAGTTCAACTTAAACTGTTGTATACATTGAATAATATAATAAGCGTTATTCATTTTTTTATCCATTATTTAGAAAGATTTGAGTATTTGAAAGGAAATAAAACTCTTCACGAAACTTTAATATAGCTAAAGTTCATTATTAAATACTTGGGTTGTAAGATAAACATATAATAAACATTTAATGGTGTTAATATATTCTTGTATTCTGCCGAATTATGTAAACTAAACTGCTTTCTATTTTAGGCATTTAATTCATAAACTCATTTTCATATAAAAATGAGATCCTTACTTTTGTTTGTACTCACCTGGGTTTCATTTTATATAAACACTTAATTTTAAATCAAGCCTTTATTCTCCAATCTAAGAAATATTTTCACACTCAGACTTTCCGAATGTATCAATCGTTAACATCGATTTTGTTTTTCACTATTGATACTATACACCTCTAAGAATGATAATACGAATATATGTTTGAAAATCCTATCTAAAAATGACACGAACCTTATTAGTGCTAATTTAACTTCAATAACATAGAAATCTGATACATTTAGATGGTGGTTGGAGGTAGTCAACAGGAAACCCTGGACCCGGGTTTCGTGCTACTTGGCACTCGTCAGGAGGGTGTACCTGTAATCTTGAGGGAACTGGTGCTCCCTGGCAGATTCGATCTCGTGTCACCCAGCTTCACAGTCAGAGACCTCCGAACACCATCCAAAACTCAATACATAGTGCCCACAGTGTCGAGTCACCTAGACTGGTGGCCACATTGCAACGTGATCAATAGCATTCGATCTGTACTAATAAGGATTAGACAAGCATGACATTGATAACCACCCAGTGATCAATAAATTGTGAAATCTGATACATTTTCACAATAGTTGAGTGCTCTTACGCTGTTAATACTTCGTTTTTCAGACAGTGAAGAATAGGAATAATTGCATATTATGATTTGAGAACAAAGCTGAAAGCAAAAATCAAGTAGATAGGCGTGTGATTATCACGCATTCGTTTTACAATGTTACTGTCATAGACAAGTCAGATGAAATATGTGACGCATCCATTTTATTCCGTTTAATTGCCACTATTATACAACAGGAGAGTTATCAGTGTATGTCTTTCTGTCCAGATTATCATACGTTATCTGGTTAGCTCATTCCAAACTGTCTTAAGTCTAGGAAAACCTATGTTTATCTTTAAGTTAGAAGTAACTAAGCAGTTCTAATCGCCTTCATAGGAGTCTTGTTTCTTGACCCTAATATGATACCACATTTACGGGTCTTTGTTTATCATCTGCAAAGTACACATGCACGATCTAAACAATTTTCCTCTATGATACCGTGTGACTTAAAACACTTTATTTTCACCTAGAACTAGTATCAAATTGTGGTTTAGTTCATCTCATGATTACATTGGACATTAATGCGTTTTCCGGATTTTTGTTTAATACATCATGTTTGATATTTTATAACAGTGAGGTTCACGGTGACTAGAGTACTCTCATGTACTGTTCTTGTATCTTTCATTAAAATAATTCTGATATTTATTTATTTATACATATAATGTCATGATCCTGACAAATCTTAAGGTACTAAACATGGGTAACATCTTTTTGAACCACTTTCGATTCATATAGAAGGCAACCTTGGTGTGGATTGTTTTGACATACATAATTGACGATTACTACACTTTGATTAATCTTTTTTACGTAGAGCTTAGGCAGAACAAATGTAAATTCTTCATACTTTTATGAAAAGTGCAACTTAGTCACTCGTGAAGACCTTCTGCTATTACAAAAGCCCTCTCTATATATGACACTAAAATAAGGTTATATTGGATATCAAAAGGACAAAACAAACAAGGTAAAACGTTTTTTGGACCTCAGAGCTCTTCGTTTAAACGTTTTAAAAGGTTACTAGTTGAGTCACTAACTCATTACAAAGTGACCTTACGGATATGAGGTTTGTTTTTTAAATCCTTTCCAACTCCCCATGGAAACTACATCAAGAACTTTTATAATCTAGATAAGTCAATAATAATTACTTAGATAGGTCGTACGTATTGAGATATGAAATATACATGTCGCTTCATTGACATGAGGTTTAACAACATCATTATGTACATGAGTGGTAAGAATGTTTGGTCCATAAATTAGATCTAAACTGTGTTGTTGTTATTATTATTGAACATAAGATTTTAACGGTATATTGGGTAAACAGATTAAGAATCCACATCGATCTCATTGAAACCGTGTGTTATCATGCTCCCTTGAGTTTATACATAATAAATGGTAGCTTAACTTAATACTCTGAGTTTCAAACCTACTTGAATTTTGTGCGATAATCACAATCATTTATTAGAGAAGTGCAGTGACATATATCAAAATTAACTACACTAAATCAATTAAATCTATTTCTTATTTTCCTCTAGATCTTTGGTTCAAGTGTTCATTCACACACATATTTCCAGTTTGTTTTATCGAACCATATTCTTGACACTTAGCATTTCTCGTCAACTTTGCTAATACAATGATTTAGACTTCCTTTCTGTTTCTTTTTATGTTTTCATTTAGTAGGTTTGCTGCAGCAAGGTATCCTAGGCTAACGGATATCACGCAAACATTTATATTAATTATAACTAACTTCCAAACTACGGTTTGTATATTCGTAAAGGCCAAAAGCTCTTACAAGGCCAGCTATTACATTGTCAATTGATGCTGTGAAAAACTGTAGTGATGTTTATTCTGACTAACTTACTATATCACTCTAATTTATGACTTAGTGGTACATAAGGTTTTTGCTTTTAATAAGCTATTTAACTATGCTTAAAATTATTATTCGGATAAATGGTATTACAACTCAAATAATATCGTACGACGTTTTCTAATCGTTAACTAAATTTGCTTCAACACACTACGAAACATAAACATAGCTCTCAGCTCTCTTCAAATAAAGAAATAATCAGTTAAGACTTAAAAACTATCTTCATCAAAAAGTCAAATAAAAGTGAAGTTTGTGTTAACGATATGTACATATGTTATTATAATAAATGATTTACCAAAGAAATGCAATACGGTAAATCTTAAAAACTTTACTCTTATCAAAGTGTCTTGCCAAACCTATCCCAATGACAATGAGCTACAAAAGCCAAGCAAAAATTCATACATTAATGTTTTAAAACATACAGGTGGAGATTTAGGTGTAAACCAATAATAATATGCATATGACTGCAAAAAATATCAACGAAAAAATGTTTCTGCACTGTCAGAAAGCACAAAACCTAGTTATACTGACGGAAAAAGTTTTTATAACATGTTTGCATTACATCGTAACATATAAAACACATCATATATGTAAGTTCTTCAAGAAGTAATAATTATTGGCCGGTGAATGTAAGACTACGTGCAAAAGATAAAACGACGATGAATGTTTGTGTTGTTTATCATTGAGAATCAACTTCAGTATTATGTAATCGTACATAAGCGTTTTTTTGTCTTGAATTCTGTAGCTATTCTAGCAGCAGTTTCAAATACATCATTAACGCCTTCCTTTTGCTTAGCTGCAAAAGATGAATCAGAGCAAATAAAGTTACCTGAACATTCAATATATGCCTGTGCCCCTATAACTTTCGCTACACTTCTCCCTTCGGATTCTGTAACAGGTTTTTGTTTCATTCTCTGAAGTTCCCTTTTTGTTGAAGAATCATTTCTTAAATCTTTTTTGTTTGCAACAAGTATTACAGGGATATTTGGCAAAAAATTCCTGATCTAGGTATAGTATTTTAGAAAGTCTAAGCTTCAATACTTCAGGCATCCATTTTGTGCTGATATTGTCCAAGCTGTCAGGATTGTCTACACTGAAACAAAGCACGACGACATTTGTGTCAGGATAAGAGAGTGGACGTAGTCGATCATAATCTTCTTGCCCAGCTGTATCCCACAAATTTAGTTCAACCTGACTCAATTAGTTTGTTAACAAATTATTTACACGCTTATTATTAATTTGCATCTCCGAAACAAAACTTTCAAAAATCGTCGGAACATATAAACTGGGGAACTCTCCTTTGCAGAAGACGGTTAGAAGACATGTTTTTCCGCACGCGCCATCTCCAACAACAACAAGCTTTTTTCGAGTAACTGATGCCATACACGATGCGATGAGTCGTTTAAATTCTGTATTCACGCTTCTAAATGTTCTGATCAACAAGTAAATTCAACGTCAAAACCCGTGAAAATATTAAGGGTGTCAATCTTTCGCATTGAGAAAGGGTGATGAAAGTGAGTGGCCAATAGAAGTTGATCCAAAACAGTTAGAATAATTACTGAAAATTAAAGACCAGTTGAATACAGCAACGAGGCTTTCGGTTTCAAGGTGAAACATTAGTGAAGTAAAACAATGAAAGCTTCTGTCAAGAATTAATAAGACAAGAGTAAATGTTATTAGATGTTTTAGCATTTGTGCTGCTCGATCAAATTAGTTGCATTAATATTTACTGAATATGGTTAACCGTAAGTTTCTTAAAAGTTGACTGGCTGGTATGTTAATTTACATATATTAATATATGTAAAATTTTAATGTGTTCAAAAGACTGAATAAACTTATGTAGGGAGAAGACACCAAGGGTGATTTATCATCATTATGAACGACTATTCACAAGCAAATCGCTCTTTATTAGTTTGTATAATCATCAACGGACAGAAATGTTTGGTGCAGTTATCTCGTTCGTGGTAGAACAGATTCAGTGACAACGATATGCTGTTATCATCAACAAACCTTATGATTTATAAACAGAATTGTGTTACACACTTCTTTGTGTGATATATAGGATATCAGTTCTAATGATGTGTTTTAAAATTCTACCTCTTTTTCAGTTTATGATATCTGAAAGCGGCTTCTTAGATCAAATCATTTCTTCAATTGAGACATAATTTGATGAAATGGAGTTGTATGTAACACGTTTCGGTGTTATTTTATAGCTCAACAAGTAATTTTAATGATGGCATTCACCGCTCGTTTTCTAACATGAAATAGGTAGACCGTAGTGGTTTTTCATTCAGATTCTGGTAGAGAACGGTTGGAGCACGAGGTTATATCTTCAAACAAACGAAGATTTTAACGTTCAATGTGGGATACTAAAAATATAATGTTTGCACGAAATAAGGAATTGGATGAGTACCTGATCTATATGGTTTTGACATTGCCATGATGTTTGCAGCCGATTCTCAAGCACCCAACTTATGTTCTGACTGACTCTTGAGAGATGTTGCTAATCTTACCCAATGGAAATGAACTCAACTATCTTTTACATATTTCAACATTTGAAGCAGTTCTAGTATCGGTTGTAGTCATCCCATATTCGATTCAATGTAGTGATCACTTCTCCCTAGCATTCAATATTTTGATTATTCAATAATTAATAACAGGAAAAAAATAGTAGGGTTGTTTACATCAATGTTTGAACCAGTGTTACTCCAGGAGCAGACATTCGAAATGATATAGGTTAGAAAGAAAAAGTATTTTTGACTATGAATTGAAGTAGAGGAGCATGATTGTTGTAAGCTATCTTTTCAGAGTTTTGTCAGTGTTGTGGGGCTTGTCATACAGTAATCTGGTTGCGATTGTTTACCAAGTACAACTAAAAAACTAGAAATTTTAGCTCTGTTATCAAGTTTTTGTAAAAATATTGATGCATAGAGTTACTTTACACTAGAGAGTGATTGATGAAACTCGTTTTAGCTCACTCTTCTCAAGCCTTCCGGAAGGCAAGAATATCCATTCAGTTCACAGCTAATTCATTAGAGTATTCCTTCAGTTTAGATTCTAATAAATATGTAGTAGTGAACCGATGGCATATATATTATTAGTTATATGAGTCTTTGATGCTGACTCTGGCCTTATGGTTTTGGCTACCTATTATCAGATGAGGGTGTTTTCGTCACTCTTGTCTCTTGGTCTTAGTCGCTTTGGGACCATGGCGAACGAAGTGATTTTGGACAAAAGTGCTGTTGACTTCTGTCTTTGACTTATTCACACTGCAGGCTACTGTGAACTGTCATGACGCCAAAAACTGATGGTTTTCTCTCTAATCAATTCATGGACTGCTCATCATCTAAAGAATTTGTAGTGGTATTGGTTCTGACCACACGATACTCGAAACTTAACACAAGAAAACTGAGAAAATTCACATTCGACATCTGACACGGAATGAAGGTCTGTGGTGAAGGCTGTATGGTACTACTCGACCTTGTAGGTACGGCCATTCTGTGAAATTCATCCGTAATTACACCAAAAAAACTATTAAGTCCGCAGCCCAAATATCATCTTCAGAAGTGCTAAGCATCGTACGGAATGGCTAAAATTACATCAAAATCTTTTATTCACTACACACTCTGACAATTATCCACATCAGTTCTTGTAAACAAGCACTGACAGCCGTATTCAAATATAATGAATCAATCTTGGTAATAAATAATAGTATCAATGACCGCCGGCCGTACACATGGATGTTGATAGTAGTTTTAAATTGACTGCGTTTTAATACATTCACTTATCGCCTCAGCTCTCTTACAATTTTTAATAATACTAGAACCATATTTATTTCTTTTCTGATACGGTTGTTAGGTATTCTACAGCCAGTGCGACGAAGAATTTTGACGCTGCACGAGATCAGGTTATGGAGTTTATCCAATAGTACCAATACTTTAGACCAGTCTTGTTTCTGGAGATTTGACAGATAATCAGGGAATAATGAAGCTTATGTCCGTGGCAGTTTCATACTCGCAGATAGAAAGCACAGTCAACCTAAAAGTCGTGAATGAAATTCGAAGATATATTCGTTAAGAATGCTGAAAATTGTTAGATTTGAGTCCCTTACTTGTTGTAGAGGGTGAGTAGCATGCTTCACTCAGTCGTGACCCGGTAGTGTTGCATGACCGAGCGTCTTCAGCTGGCGTGTGCCTTGTTAAGCTGATGAGGTCAAGCCAAATATTGAAGAGTTATGCAGGTATCTAATATGAGGATTTGTTTATCGCCACATATCCATCCCTTATTGTTGAATTCGAATTCTATCCACTTGAGGAGATTCTGAGTATCCAGAATTCGATTATGTTGTCATTCACATTCCTTCTCGAGTAGTATTTTCAGACTTCAAACTCGAAGACGATCAAACAGGAAGACATATTTATATTATTACAGGACATATCGAAGCTCATGATATGTAAGCCAAATTGTTATTGGATTTGGATTAATGACTAAAGAGCGTGTGTATGTTGCTCTTAACATTGCTACGTATCATAGTGATTAAAAACACAAATGTTTTGATAAACTATTGTGTTCACACTGTAAAACTAGTCGAATGTAACAGTCGGCTCCTGTGTATTTTTCTCGAGACGAAGGAAATTCACCAAATATACATTCTGCTCTGATTCGTTCTTCAGGCACTGTCGATTGGTGTACTAGTAAATGACGACACGAGTGAGAGGAAAACAAAATTTTAATGCAGGTATAAGAAAATTGTTGTTAAATTGCGAGTAATCAACAAAAGTATATCGTTCTTTTAATAATAGTTATTAAACCCTCACTTTTAAGGTTTTCGGAGCAAAATGTTCGATATTTCTTGCCAAAACAATGTGAGTCAGTGTTCAAGTTACAGGATTAAGTTAAAAAAATATAACCGAACACAGTGGAAATAATGATATTCACATCAACACTTATTAGTCACCAAAGGACAATGAGTTTCTACTGTAACATCTCAAATTCAAAACTGCAAATGAGGACCCCCTAGATGTAATAACACTCCGTGAGAATGTCAGTTCTCTTGCCAGGTAATTCCTGTGTAGTTAGCCAAATCTAGTTGTGTAGTTAGTAGCTTGTGAATTCTCAAAATCGTTTCTTAGTGAGTAATGAGTTTTGGAATTTGACTCGAAAACTTATAGCCCGTGTGACTTGATCACGTGCTATCGGTAGGACTCAATGTCAGGCAGATAACTCTTTCTGCAACGGGATGTTTATAAATTTTTCCTTTCCCCGACGAAACAGTCATTACGAACCACTCTTGAATAAGAGATATAACGAAATGGATATATGAAACATCACTCTGGATATTTCTGGATCAGTGTACGTAGCATACTGTTGTAGTGAACAAGAACATAAGTGGGGACGGCGGAATATATTTGAACACAAAATTACAGGGTATCTCAGTAAAATCTGAGAACCGTACAAAAAATTTTCATTTGAAAGGTATCAGTCAGTTGTCTCAGACGTCATTGTTCCTTCGTTTCCACAGAAATCATTCTCTGTTTTCGTTCTTTTCTCTTTGATCTTTTTAACCTTGGGCAGACAGGTATTTCACTTTCTATTGATGATACCTACTACATATATATCGACATCAGAAGCACACACCACAATATAATTGGACAAAACCTATCGATAAGGTTAGTTATAATTGCTTTCCCAGTAATATCAAGCCGATATATATAAAGCTATCACATACAAATTGATTTAGCTGTGTTGTTTGTATGAATTAATGAGTAGTTAGTACTTGATGACGGCCTGATTTTGAATTCCAAATACAGCATGTTTTTTTGCTCTCACCTAGTTGTTTGGCCTTAATTGCGTTATTTCGGGAATCCTCAGTACGTGTAATAATTTAAATACTTCCAATCATCACACTCGGTTCACCATTTTTGAATACTTAAGTTTAAAATTCTCATTTTCCTACGTGGTGAAATGTGATGATGGGGTCCCATAGGATTCTACATTGGGAATTTTCTTCTTCATTTATTCAAATGATAGTTGTCAACAAACATCTGAATTATTAACCTTTGCTGATGGTTCTCCGCCACATATAGTAGTTTGGAGTCTAACATGTGATCTGAAATTTCGCAAGAATGTGGTTCAACTTCAAATTTGTCTAGATTACAATGGTTTTGCCCTCAACGCAGATTAGTCCATTCGAGGCATATTGCTAACTAAACATACAACATTATTGGTTTTTTTCTGGAGTTGTCAGTAACCTTAAAATTCTTAGGAGCCTTGATAATCTGTGATGTCGACTCAGATAGAAACGTATTTACCTTCAACCTTGAACTAAAACTTTGAAGAGCATTATTAGTCAGTTGATAAAATATTTCAGACTACTTTCGACAGTTTTTATCCTCCAAAAATTACGGGAATGGAAGGTCATACAAACAGCTTCGAAACCTTACGGGGAATGCTTTGAATCAACATATCTTTGCTGTTTAAAGTACTGGCGAATCTGAAGTAATCTTTGGATTATCTGTACTATCCCCCACATGTCCTTGTATACTTTACAGCACATATCTGCATTTATTACTAGCTCGAGCTTTGTGGAAGCACATGAAAATGAGAGATACAACATAAGAAAACGGAATGTACACAAGTTTTATACTTCTTACTGGCAGTTAAAACTTGATATTTCTGAACGTCCTAAATGATTCAAGCAACCTCACTGTTGTTCTTCTAGAGGAAACGTGGACTGAAAACAGTATATCATACTAATTTACTAATAAAGCTTTACATGTTTTCCTTGTCTCATGCGTATAATCTCTCACTTAACATCACTGATTATCAATTGCAACTAAAAACGGAAGCTCTTTAAGCAAAGGTTTATTCCATTTAGCCTACGGTTATTGGAGTGATTTGTTTAAACTAGTTAACTACTATATAGCTTACTTGGCAGAAATATAGATATCTGTTGTCAATGGAGCAAGCTAATGAAGATTTCCTCATTATACTTGGAAGGGAATATCCGTTTTTATCCGATAAGCATGTGAATGACTACTTTATCAAATGGTAACTTATCACATTGGTGAACGTTTATTTTAGGTCTATGAAAGGCAGGTTGAGTGTTGTTACATTCACTTTTGACCATATGTTTGTACCATATAAAGCAGATTCATTTTTCACAGTACGTAAATAATAAGTTAGTTTCATGAAAAAATTACTTAGCGGTTTTTCAATTCGCCTTCTGTGCAAAATGCTCTCACTATTCCCCGCACTAAAACGTAAGTAGTTTCATATGACCCATTAATTCTTCATGATAAATACACTGATATTTTGACTAGTATTGTCAAAATTAACAGCGTAAAATGTACGCTCACCAACCTGGATGTTTTTCGTAAACTTTCAAGTGTGACACATGAGTGCGGAAGAATTAAAACACGTCTGGACGATGTTTTCGAAACAATCCTTATTTCTGATAAATTAAGAGAGGCAAGTACCATTCGTTTTTATCGACCCACAGTGTTTGTTACTTGAAGATTCAGACAGTTATTATATTCTTACTGAAAAAGATAGAGAAGAGTTCCTCGTTCGCCTGTTCAGACACATTTGTATTGGAGGTGAAATATGTCAACAAGAAGATGAGATTAAGCCATACATTGATACTGTACGCAAAATATATCGTGATTTAATATGGTATATTGCTATGCTATTGTAATGCTATGGTTTCAGTGTACAGAAGAATCCTGATTCAAAAGCAATCGAAATTGTTTCGCATGTTTACGAAGTTCGTGTGTATGTAAGTGAATTACCAGGCTTAATTTTGAAAAATATACCTTTGAGCGCTTAATTCATTGTTATCGCACGTTGGTTCGGTTCCTTCCACATCATTAACAACATGACTTTAAAAAAAAGACAGTGTAAAACGGTTTCAATACATTTATGTAAGTGTTGGTCCTCTTCGTGTGTGTATTTTCGTAAATTTATGAGTGAGTAATACTGTATTCTTGGGAATTTTTTATTTGAGCAAATCAGGATGGTGTTTTGTGAAATTAAGTTTACATTTGCCCAGACTCTTGTATCTATGAAATTCGTGAGTGACTGTGTAACCTGTCACTACTCACCATATCATATATTAAGAGGACGAACTGATGGTTTTTACAAATGCGAGCTTTTGTCTTCACGATAATTTTGACCTGCAATAAATTCTTCAACCTAACTTTAAACCATTACGATCAAGTGCGCATATATAGTTTGTCAGCCAGTAGGACGTGAGACGAATATTATCTTTGTTCAGACTGTCAAATTGCATATGAAATGAGGAGATGGTTTTACTTTTAACCACAACAAATATTGTAGCGTCGGGGATCTAGTTTAAGAGGATATAACAAGGTCTAAGAATGAACAGTTAAAGTGCTAATTAACCTAAGAGTTTAGAAAAAAATTAGGTCCTCAATACAACTGTACCACACTGGTTGATTTCTCTACACATCACCCAACCTCTATAATAATTGATCACAACGATTGCTTAGTTTTAAACTCGTAAGTCTCAATCGTATAGACTTTGCGCATAATAAATTGATGCAGTAGATATGCTTCTTAAAATTACATGGTAAACGCGTCATATATACTTTGTAGATGACTCGCATGCCGTTTTAAACATATCATTTTTATCTACCAAACGTTTTTGCGTTAGTTCTTTATAGTTACGTTGGGACTTAAATGTTGTAGCGGCAAATAAATCCCCAAAAGCAATGGCTTTGTAAGTTTTTGACATTTGATGCTGACTACATTAGTTTTAATGAACTCACCTAGCTAAAGGCGCTCGATCACGCATCCGCACCAGATCACGAGTGTGAACGCCGTACTCAACTTCTCCTACGACCACTAGCCAGTTTAGATCGGTCATATTTTTGAACCTCCTCGCTTCTGACGTTTGACTTCACTGGATGGGCACGATCCAATTATAGAAGGTGTTACTGGACAAAGTGCTGTCAGACTAAAAATACCTGTGACATCTTTAATATCATACAAAATTTCATTACAGGCCTTGTTTTTAGTTTAAGCCCACTGTTTCAAATTTATACAATAAGTGGGGACTGAAAATCAACGGTACACTGAAATGATTACAATTAAGTAACAATTAGGTGATTATTCGTAAAGTTTGTAACTAACTATTATTTTACTGGCTATGCAGATGCCTGAAGTAGTATGACAAAAATTGTACAAATTTCTGAAACTGAAGAAAACTTTTTTATCATTATTTTTAAATTTACGGATTGAGCATGATTATATACTTTTCTATAATTTTATAAAATAATGAGAGAAGTTGTATATGAAGAACCTAGTCACTAGAAGCCTCTAAACGCAGTCAAGAGTGCCTGTAACTCAAAACATACAGGAAGGGGATTTGTACCATTCCTTTTATTTGAAGTTATTTTAAATTTATGACTTTACGTAAGGAGTAAACTGCAATCATTTTCGTTGAATCCATGTTTAAATATTCTGGGTGTTTGGGGCAATTATTTTATGCTGTGCAGTAACTCGAGCATTTGACCCTCCTTTGGTAATTAGGAACGCAAAAGATGGTAGTATAGATCCACAAATACCTGTTGGTGCTTTTTGGATTTATATCTATCAGACTTGTCTGTTTAGTTTGTATGTTTTGATTTACTTTACAATTTTTTGTGAATATCTTTTTTGTCACGTTTTGTTTGATATGTTTACTGTCTAGTTATTACCTAAAACAAATACGGTTGCTTAAGGTCTAACGTTTTTAAGAACAAAGTATTATGTTTGGTAAACACAATATATGTGACGAAAAATAATCTGATTAGTTTACTAAATATGTGTGGTGATTGTTAATTGAGATTCTTTGTTCAGTCCCAAATATTTTCGAAGCTTAGAAAAGATGATATACTGTAGGCTATATGTCTAGACTTAGTCTGAAATCATGAATAATCGATCAGAAACTTATTAGCTTGATTAATTTTTGTACTTAAGTACATATATTATTTACTGATATGCATTAAACTAGTAGCCTTTTTAATAGCTTTATTTCCGTTGTTTACTAACATTTTGTTTCTTCCCACATGTTATTTGCATCTCTTTAAAGGATGAACAAAATAACATGGTGTTTCCCTCACGTAAAGAACATTTGAATACGTTCGCTTATGCAATCGTGGATCCTTTTAAGAGAAACGTTATAATTTTTTATCATGTTTTTGGATGCGGGGAATTTTCATGATGTAATATAGAATACTGTGTCGAAATAAACGTTTTTTTTAGATGAGTTTGTTTTGTAAATTCCAAACGATGTTAAAATGTAATGAATTCTATTCAATCTATAAGACATGTCTTGATCGTCCGGATAAAGATTCACATAATTGTATCGAACACTTTGTTATTGTCATTAGGGTTGGGGAGTTCATTTTTTGCCAGTATAAAATACTGGCTTTATGGGGATACGTGAGGATAAATATTCTTAGGTTTCTTAGTTAGTAAAACATTCTTAAATCCAGCTAAAATCCACAATAAAAATATCAAATGGGCTCTTAATTATGCTAGCTTATTCAACTAACGTATTGGGTTCGATAAACTCCAAAACTTTTTATTAGATTTTCATCGTTAATAACTTACAGTCAATTATTTGCATTTAGTTAGCAGTTAATCTATCAGTTTCCATAAGATCGATAATGTGTCTTGCGTGAACAGAAACTTTGTAGAGCTACTAGTTAATTAATTCAGTATCATAAGTTTCACTTTCATTTAACTCACAGGACGAAAAGCAATAAAATTAACGTCGTTAAGCTTAACCACTTGGAGAATTTTGATATTACAACCTAGCTGATGATTTTCGGATAGCTTTTTTAGGAGTTAATTCTGTCCGAATTCAGGTTATAAATTCAAGCTACTACGTCGTTGGTCATATAGTAGCATTAAAAAATATATAACATTAGGTCTCGTAATCAGACTCATCCGAGGTAAATACCGGTGTTCGGCAAGGCTGCTTACTCTAACCCTTTCTCTTTCTCCTGGTGATCGACCGGATCATGAAGACGTCAAAATCTAAGGGGAAGCATGGGATACAGTGGCCAGCTAGAATGCAGCTGGATGATCTAGACTTTGCAGATGATCTGGCTCTTCTATCGCACACGCAACAAAAATGCAGGAGACAACCAGTGTAGCAGTAGCCGCAGCAGCAGTAGGTCTCAACATACACAAAGGGAAAAGCAAGCATGCACTAATCAGATTACACTTGACGGAGAAGATTTGGAAGATGTGAAAACCTTTACATATCTGGGCAGCATGATTGATGAATACGGCAGGTCTGATGCAGATATGAAGGTGCGGATCGGCAAAGCAAGAGCAGCATATTTACAAGTGAAGAACATCTGGCACCCAAAATAACTGTCAACCAAAACCAATTTCAAAATTTTCAATACAAATGTCAACAAAGTTCTACTGTATGAGGCGGAAACCTGGAGAACTACGTAACCCGTCATTCATAAGATACAAGTGTTTATTAACAATTGTCTACGCAAAATACTTCTGATCCTTTGGCCGGACACTATCAACAACAACGTACTGTGGGAGAGAACAAACCAGATCTCAGCAGACGAAGAAATCAGAAAGAAGCGCTGAAGTGGATAGGACAAACATAGAGGAAAGCATCGAACTGCGTCACAAGACAAGCCCTCACATGGAACCCTCAAGGCCAAAGGAGAAGAGGAAGACCAAAGAACACATTACGTCGAGAAATGGAGACAGACATGAGAAAAATGAACAAAACTGGAAAGAAAGGCCCAGGATAGACTGGGTTGGAGAATGCTGGTCGGCAGCCTATGCTTCATTAGGAGTAACAGGCATAAGTAGGTGAGTGAGGTCTCATAATACTGGATCTGTAGGCAAAATATGTTTAGGGAAATCTGCAATATCTTAAACAACATTGTTATCAATATTAGCCATTTGAGATTGCTGAATTTCATAAACTAACTTATACTACTTCATGTCGTAAAATTAGTGATCTGAGTCAAATAATATAGTCAAACAGTTATAAAGATCCATTTGATGCAATGGTACTGATTAAACGTAACTTTTGATGGTTTGATCTTTGGAAGCTTTCTTGACTAGATTGTGCTGCTTTCCAAGATGTGTACTTATTATTAACTAATTACGCATTTGACAACCGAATATCAAGTTTAATAAATTCATTACTTAGTGAGTTAACCTCTAGATGTTATTTGATGTTCAAAATATTGGTAAACTATAGAAAAAATTCTTCATCGTCTTTATTTACAAATGTGAGTACTAGATATAATGAATCAAATAATTTAAGATGTGACTTATTTTTGTGTCTAAGAAAGACAATTAAGGCAACCTTATTAACTTAAGAAAACTGAGGAGTTTTAATGACTTGTATTGGCACAAGTGGTAATTTCTCCTTTCCAGTCAAGTAGGTTATTTGAATAATGAGAAGAACAAATGTTCTGTTGATAAAAACTTTCAAAGGTTTTCGTGGTTTACTTTTTGTTTAAATCTCTGATAAATAAGAAGACACATTTTTCTTCTCTAAACGTGCCACTAGTTTGTTTCTAAGTTCAAAAGTAGTATTCAGTATTCCTGCTATATATCATTATCAATAAACGTCGTCACTGTTTTAAATTATTGTTTAATATTGTTCTAATTGATATACTTATGTCAGCTTCAGTGTTTCTGGAGTTGGTCCTAACAATAATTGACCGTAAGCGACTATATAAGTGCTTGACAAATCTTAAAAAATAACTAAGAGAAGTAGCCATAATATTTCATGAATTCATTCTTAGTTGTTGAATTTGTTTTTAGACTTATGTTGATGATTATGATAATAAAGATGATGACGATGATGAAGAGAATCAAAAATATGCTCCTTAAACATTAGAATATTTACGACTTAATAACACTTTACTTGACCGTAAATGGAACTGAAAAGAAATCTCCATGTCATTTCAATTGTTCCTGTCTTAGGAAGTCTACTAACGGCACTTTAGGTATTCTTTCATCAAATTTATATATAGTTTCAATGAAAATTGTCTTTGAACTGATAACTTGAAAGGTATCATCAATAGAACAGTGAACTTTATATCATTACAATAAATATATCGAATGATTTAATACTTTTTATTATCACTTATTAATGTAATAATAAACTTTTTTTAATGCTCTTCCAATTTATACTGGGAAAATAGGATAAATTTCATAAACTGTTGTCTCAAGTTGAATAATTTACCTTTTCAGACAAATTGTTTAAATATCAATTCAATATGTTCAATATTTGAATATATACAGTGTGAATGCATTAAATGTAAAACCATAGCAGATTATCAGTACAGTCAACTGGTAAATTGTAAACCATATAATGAATGTACGAATGGATATAACTAAATAATGTTTATAAAAAATTGCTTAGTTTGTAATATATTTCCAGTAACTAGAAAAATATGAGTAGTGCGTTAACATTTCCTTAATAGAGACTAGGCTCAAAAAAATTCAGGTGTTGGGGGAAAGCACAAAATCTGTGAAGCATTCATTTAAATTACATTCATTTACATTTTTAAATTTAGACATTTTCTAATACTGACCATTAAAATTATCGGCAGAAACTATGATGATTGTATCTTACCAATTATGAATTTTTATCAAGAACTCAACAATTGACCTCAAAGCTTGGTCATTATTCAGATAAGATGATTTATCGAGGTTTTCTAATTTGACGTTTGTTCTTATCACTGCTAGATTATCTGAAATTAGGGTGAAATATTTGTCCTGCGCCTTCTTGTTTTGATGTTTATCTAGCTGGTTTCAGTTTCTAGAATTAGTTTCAATGTAAGCCAGTAGGCGAATTAGGTGAAAGCAAGGAGCTTTCATTTTATATTGATTAGTACAGTTAGATGAAAATATTTATCCTATAGTTGGTAAGTCGTACACGTAAACCTATAATCGATCACTGGAATGAGGAAAAACATGTACGGTTGTTAATGTAACCAAACTTTCATTGTATATAAATTATTAAGTAAAATAAAGTACATGATCTATCACATTTATGCGACATCTTATTGAAAAACAAACGATGCCATCATTTTTCAGAGCTTTCAATAATCCTGACCTGACACAAATGACGTTGCTCACCCACCATTCAGTGAACATTTCAGACCTACAGGAGGTTAGTCGCTGCCCGAATGACCCAGTAGTAACATCTCTGACTGCGAAGCTTGGTGACACAGGATCGAATCCGTCAGGGAGCATTAGTTCCCTCAACACCACAGGTACATCTTGCTGACGAGCGCCAAATAACACGAAACCTGGATCCAGAGTTTCCTGTTGACTACCTCTAGCCACCATCTTAAAAACATCTTAGATTATTTACTTTAAAAAAGAATTTAATATAAACAGTTAGTGTAATTAAAATGCATCATATTTTTGGTTTTATTTTTCATGAGTAAGTGGCTTTCTTAATGCACTTGAAAAAAATACAGTGCTACTAACCTATTTGATTGGTTTAGGTAGGATTAGTAGGTATTTATAATAATAACAACATAATACACCCTGTTAACAAGTCTGTCTTTACTTTTCATACTGATCTTTATGAAATTTCAAGTTTTATCATGAGAAAGTATCAACCCTATATCACTTGGATTGATAACAGGAAGTTATGTAAATTCTAAACAACTCCAAATTAAATATTCTTTTATTGTTTCAGCGTTTAAAACAGAGATCTACATGATGATTTCTTTAACATTTAGTGTCAGTTACTATGTTAAGCCCACATAACGTATTCTAGCTTCTGGACAGGCTATTTTATTCATTCTTCTTGAGTCACATTTTGAGCTTGGTAATTATTCACTTATCAACCTTGATTGTTTTTATATGAGCATGTGTGTGTGTACATCTTATCCTACTCATCACATGTCTGTAGCTTATTTTTGTATGAATATAAATATTGATTAACTCTTGATTGAATCGAGTTGGCTCACACGTCTTCTCCACTGCGCATCATTTTGCTTCGTTCCTACGATTGCCTATCCAAATCACTAAGTGTACAAAATCTACGTCTCCAAACATCTGTTCTCGTATTTAACTTATCTCATTCTGTTATACATTAAAGCGGACTAAGTCAATAATTACATAAGAGGCTTGATGACATGTACATCTCAATAACAATCAGAAACGATTATATTCGAGTTAGATCTCAGATCATCAAAGACACTTTTTACTCTATTAAAAATATAATCGTCGATAAAATACATAAAT